AATACTTTTCACGCATTTTTCCATTTATTGTCGGAACGATTAGCATCACTACGGTTTTTGCTTCATTCAACATTTGAATGGATATTATTCATGTGCAAAGAAATGATTCTTCATTTCGATGGTTCTTTTTCATTTCTGAACTGATTCTGAGAATTGTGTTGAGAAAGTGCGTTTTGGATGCTGAATTGTTCACAATGCAAAATGATCACTGGATGCATAAATTGACCAGTCAATCAATTTAGCTGATCCAATACAGCAGTTCGATTCCATAGATTCTGATAAAGAAGGCGATGAGACTAACACAAAATCGAAATCAAAGGTGAGAATAATTGTTAAATAGACTCTATTTTCTACATCATGAAATATAAAACTCACTCGTTCATGAAGTGATGTGATCGAGGATTTCAAAATTGAATTTGATAATTGTGTTCTCTTAGTATTGTGTCGTTTTTTGTTATGAACTGAACATTAACTCGTTCAAACTGAGCGATTAAATGCTTTTCGTAAACTTGCGATTGCAGAGTAAACGTGGTAACAAGGCGACTGAACAAAAACAAAAAGCAAATTGATCTGCGAAATTATGCAATCTTGATCACATGGACTGAAGTGGTGAAATAGGGCAAAAACTGATGGTTGAGGTTACTTGTAGGAAAAACTTTAAATATCAATTGTTGCTTCGAGAAGTATCTAGATTTCAGGTTTACCCGATGATGAATTTCATAAATACTTTGGTGAGCTTGTCGAGCAGCTGTCTAAAGAAGCAAATGGCTATACACTGCGCACGGCAAATTCCGTGTATGTGGACCAGAATTTTGAACTTAAAGAATTGTTCACATCGTTGATTAACGAGAGTTATGCGGGACAACTGAAAACGGACGACTTTTCGCAATCGGCTGCTGTGGCGAATGTTTGTTTTTGAAATCGTTTGTTTTCATATTTTTCGAATGATTATTCATCAGTCGACAGCGTTCGCTGGCTCAAAGAACCAAATACACTGCGTTGGTTCCGCAGAAGTGTTGAATCGTGTACCTAGTTCCTGAAGTGGTCGACGATTCCCCTGAAGCCGGAGGCCAATCGCGCTCATTGATACCAGTTTTAATCCAATCGTCGGTATTGGGTTGAAATAACCCAAAATTTCATTTTCAGAAGATCAACAGTTGGGTTGAGAGTCAAACGAA